AAAAAAAAAAGCACTTCTAAAATGGTTGCCACTCAGCAACAAAAACCCCCCAAACTCACTCAACATTACTCCGAAATCGATTCTCTTGTATATCATGTATGTCGCCGTATTGAATCTGACACTGTAAAGCAGCCAAATCACAAGCCATTTCTCTTCTGACCGGATGAGTTCCTTGCAAAATCCCCAGTTTGCATTGTTCATACAACAAATTCAACTGCACGGGATCACGGCAGTCAACATTTGTATCGGAAAAAAAGTATTTGCGCCTCAGAACGAGTATTTCTTCATCACCGACCTAAAAAGTCATAAGCACGTAACATGAGATCAGACTGCAAACCTGCGGCGATCTTGAAAAACAAGTTATGAGACAGAGGAAACTGTTTCAAAACAAAACAAACAAATGTTAAAAATCCTTATGCTAAAAAAATTATTAGCAAAAAATTAAAACTGACTAAAATAAGCAAATACCGATTGCTCTCGAAGGGTCTTTCCATGATTCAACCACATTAATTCTTCATCCGTGTGCAGTTTCGCTCGCAGCTGCTCCATTCTTTTCTCTTTATTTCTACCTAATGTACCAAAAGCTAACCCTTTTTCTTCGCTTTTACTCCTCTTTTCCTCTTTTGTAACTGTACTTGGTTTCGACTCATCTTCCGACGGTTGCCGCACCTGAAACGAAAAATAAAAAGGGAGACTTGGGGAAAGCAAGAAACAAACAACAGTTAGCTTAGTTGTTGGCTTAGTCTGACCAATACAGATTAAATCGCGCGAAAAACAGACAAAAAGAAAACACAGAAGCAAAATCGCAATATTTTCTAACTTGTACCAATGAATATTCATCGTGATTGCTGATGCCAATCTTAGAGCAAATAACGAGCATTAATTCGCTCACAGGCTGACTCTCATCAACCATAACGGTCTTGATTGATCCGTCAAGCATTTTGACTTTCAAGGCCCTGATCTTCTTTTTATACTCTACGGTATCCTGAAAAAAAAAAAAAAAAAACACGTTACTCCAAGTGAAATTTCCGCACCAAAAGCTTCAACATTGTTACTCGCGAATAGAAATCAAGAAAAAGTAGGTGTCAAAAATCTCACTCCGTTTCTGACCAAATAATACTCCAAGGGTCTTCCATTTTCCATCCACACACACTTCGTCGGGTCATCCTCGAGGCGGAAAAGTCCATATTCTTTTGCTGCAAACCAAGAAACGACGGTCCCAGATTCATATACTGATAATATGCAGAAAGTGAGTTATAAATAAAGGTGCTTACGATTCAGGTTGTTGTCAGTGATTTTTTCTCGAATGATCTTGCAAGCATCGAAGACGAGTGTCGATGGCTCGAACTGCATCGCTTTTTTTACTGTCGGTTGCTCGTTCGGCCTAGATGACCACACAACGTTCAAAGTGATTACTCCCATCTTCGATGGACCCGGCTTTCCTTTCCCTCTAAGAAATAAAAATAACAAAAGTGAAGAGCTCGGCGTTTGCGTCGCAAACGTTTTTTTAGGTCATAATTCATAATCTTGTCAAAAAAGTTATAAAGAATATTAAGGTGAAAAAAAGTAAAAAATTTGCGTTGACCAGCTGAAACCCCACAACTCTCTATTCCTCAAAAAAAAAATTTACAAATATATATGACCATACCTCCTTGTTAACACATAAGAAAACGGCTCTAGTATTAAAACTCGGGAAAGGCGAAGCACAAACTACTGGCAATGATTACTATTCTGATAAAAAAATATTGAAGTGAGCACATGATGATTGGCAAGAAAAAATTTACTTTTCTTTACTTAGATGCCGAAAGCTCAAGAAACGAAATGAAAAAGCCTCAATTTCGCCAAACGACTCTTTCAGCGAAACAAAAAAAATAGAGAATACCAATAACCATCAACTAAGGTATTTGACAATTCAGATGAACAAAACGACTTAGCCAAATGCTAAGAAACTCTATTACTTCTAAACAAGTCTTCAACACAACAAGGAACGAAAAACGATGACATTTAGAGAAATCCGTTAAAAACTTTTACCATTTACAGTTGATTTCTAACCAACAGTAAAAGGCTCAGTAATACCCCACCAAAAAAATAAACTTTTATCAAATTCTACACCAAATACTATAATTTTGCTTAATAAACACAGCAAAGTGACGATAAAAATTTAAAATGAGCCAGCATGGAACGTTTCAATATCAAAAATCTGAAAAAAAAGTCAAATTTAGAATAACGCCGAGAAATGTTTTTTAGTAAACACGCGAATGATAAAAATATTAAGAATAATAATAATAATAATAATAATAATAATAATAAT